CAATCCTTAATAATAAGCTATATAACCTGGATTTTCACATTTAGTGATATAAATTTATATGTACCATAAACTCCTTTGCATTTGTAGTTAAACTCCCTTTATCATCCCCAAAGATGTTATTTGTGCTCAGTTCCTTGATTGGGCTTGCTCGAAGTTTGTTCATTTTATTGCTCTTTTTAACAGAGCTAGCTTTTAGCTTTATTGCTGCAGTCTCCTATTTTTCTTTTGTTTTCTGTTTCATTTATTCCTACTTTTATCTTTATTCATTTTTGTATTCTTTCTTTTCACTTTCTTCACTGTTTTTAATATTTCTGTTGTTCTTTTCCAGTTTCCTGAGTTGAATGTTTAGTTCATTTCTTTCCAGTCCTTATTTTCTTAGTTGAGTGTTTAGTTCATTTCTTTTCAGTTTTTGTTTTCTAATGCAAGCATTTACTGTTATAAATTTTCCTCAGTCCTGCTAAATTCCGTAATTTAGATATATAGTTTTTCTAACTGTTCACTTCTAAACAGGTTGTAATTTCAGTTTAGAATTTCTGTTTAACCCAAGAGTTATTTCGAAAGCAGTGTTCAGTATATAAATGGATATTTTTGTGATATTGTTACTTACGTTTGATTTTTGGCCATTTGTTAATAATGTCTAAATTGACCACATGAATTCCTCTATGCACCTGTGACAATTTTGACTGTTTTTGAATTTGAGCTTTTGTTTATGGGCTGATAAGAAACGTTGGAACTTTTGGTAAGTTAATTTTTAAAGGATGTATTTTCTCTGGGTACAAAATGTACATGCAAAGTGCAGACCTGTGTGCAGTTGACCCCTGAACAACATGGGTTAGAGCTATGCAGGCCCACTTATATGTGGATTTTTTTCGACAAAGGTATGCTACGTTACTACACAATCTGTGGTTATTTGAGTCTGTGGATGTGAAACCACGTATAGGTGGGGCCAGCAGTAAAGTTCTATGCAGATTTTGGACTGTGTGGATGGTGGGCATCCCTAACTCCCACATTGTTCAAGGGTCAACTGTATTTACCTGTACATAAGCATATATATGAATGTATCTCTGTTTACTCAGACTTGTTAATTGTCATCATTGAAATCTTTTGTATGTTTTTCTTTTGATCTGTGAATATATTGAGTGGGAAGTGTGTACTTTTTCCTTGGAATTCCAAATGATTTTGGTGTATGTATTTTGAAGTTCTATTGTTTGATGCATAACATTTCATAACTTTTGTAGCTTCTTATCTGGTCATCTTTTATTAATAAAATACCCTCCTCTGTCCTTATGATGTCTCTTGAATTCTGTCTTTTTCCTGATATTTCAATTACTAATTCCATTTTCCTTTTTTCTACATTTAACTGACATTTTGCCCTTTTATTATTTTTTAATTTAATCTGTTTTTTAATTGAAGTATGGCCAGTTACAGTGTATCAATTTCTGGTATACAGCATAATGTTTCAGTCATACATATCTCTATATATATTTGTTTTCATATTCTTTTTCATTATAAGTTACTACAAGATATTGAATATAGTTCCCTGTACTACACAGAAGAAATTTGTTTTTTTATCTATTTTATATATAGTGGTTAGTATCTGCAAATCTTGAACTTCCAATTTATCCCTTTCGAAGTTTGTTTACTATGTCTATGAGTCTGTTTCTGTTTTGTTGATAAGTTCATTAACGTCTTCTTTTTTCTTAGATTCCACATATGAGACCTACCATATGGTATTTTTCTTTTCTTTTCAATCTTTTTGAGTTACTTTGTTGCAGGAGGGTGTCTTTTAATGAGCATATATGTATATATATAATGAAACATCTTCTGGCATCACAAATTTGAAAATTCTCTATTAGTTGAAAAAGCCTCACACCTTGACTGCCTTGACAAATTCTGCTCAGCCTTTGAGATAAATTCAAATATCACCTCCCATATGAAACCTTTTTAGATATTCTTAGCCCTGAAAAAACTGAAAATAAGTGGATTTCTCCTTTCTCTTTCTATGTCACTTTATTGTATATAAATTCTAACACTTTAAACATTGTGTTATCCATATATACTTAATGAACTTTCTCCAGGATTCATGAAAAAGAAATTGAAGTTCTTTGTAATCTCCCTGTTCCCAACCCCTCCCCCCAAAACAATTACTGCTATTCTTGGTTCTGCAACTACCCTGCAGAGACCATGGGATCTCCTGAGTAATCAGAGTTGATGCCTGCTGCATGCAGAAGGATTTCAAAGTAAAGAAAGAGAAGGAAATTTTATATAGAGGCACAAAGGCAGGAAAGCATTGGGCTTGTTTGGGACTTTACTAGATGGTCACTGTGGCTAGAAACTACTTTTCTATTAAAGAGGGAGCAGGAAGTGGTGGTAGGTGAGGATGAAAAAGGAATAGATTTTCAGGTGGAAACACTCTTTTCCTGCAAGGGGAGATGCAGAGTCTGTTGGCCCATTACAAAGTCTTTGGGACTCAACTTGGACCTTTTACCTAATCATTTCCCATTTCACTCCTATGGTTGAATGGCTGGCAGTCCTTGGACTCCTAAAAAAATGGAGTTTAGCTTGGAGAAGTCACTCAAGGAATATTTTTGCCAAGGGAACTGAGACATGGCGAAGGATTGTGGCACTCATAAATAATGTGACACGTTCTGATTTTTCTGCCGTCCCTGCTAGTGCTTGATCGTATTGGGGGTTTATATTATGTGCTCACTTTTCCACTCAGATGCCTGGCAGGTTGGGCATGAGGCTCGTTTTGCTTTTTTTGTGTGTTGATTATTTGCTTACTGTCCTTGATTCCAGGCAGAAGGGCACATTGCAAAGGGCTGTCATCACTGTTTCCCGTTGTCCCCAGCTGGGCGAGCACTGATGCTCATGTGGTGTTATAGATGGGGCTGGTGGATCATTAGTCCTCTGCCTCAGAGAGCCCGCCTCTGTTGTGTTTGGTGCCTTCACCCCTGCCATTGCCTGTCCTTCTCTTTCTTCCAGAATAATTCCCATCACTGTTCTTTCTTGAGTTTACTCCCGAGACTGCCCTCCCAAAACCTAGCCCCCTCCTCCATTCCAGTGGCCAGAGGTAGCTGAAACACAGATTCCTCTGGAAGAAAGCTCTGGGGCATAGCTCGTGGGACACAGTTAGAGGACTCGGGCAGACAATCTCTATTGCTCCAATGGAGGGGAGTGGGGTCAGGTGGGAGGACTCTGGGGATGAACAGCTAGATCAGGAGCTAGTGTGTTGGAAAACAACCAAGAATTTGTCGCCTGTTGACACTACTTCCAAAAGGTTCCATTCGGTTCGGTTCAGTTTTGACAGTGACATACAATCTCTTAATAAGAAATACCTATAATCACTTTAGAAAAGTTTTTAATGGGTCTGGCTGTGATACAGTAATAATGGTGGATCGTTAGGGACCATGGGCTCCGTGTCCTGATCTGTGTGTTTTATATATTCACTCATTAATCACTAATGACAATAGTTATCAGGTGGGTTCTATGTTATCTGCCTTTATCAGTGAGGAAGATGACATAAGGGACTCATCAGAAGCCAGATGAGTAGGTGGTGGAGCTGGGATTTGAATCAGTGTTGCCAAGGTTTGGTGAGAAAACCATCATCAAGGCTTCTCATGACAACTAGACTCTTACTGTCCCCGAGTTTTACTTGATTCTCTTTGAATCCTCTTTGTCCAGCTCTTTTCTGAATCCTTTTCCTCTGAAAGTCCTCAAGGACTCCTTTAACTCTGGGCTTTACTTCTTATCCTACCAACTCTCTTTGAAGTATGCTCACCTCTCTCTGCTCTCCTCTCTCTGTATGTTGATACCCACAGTCTAGACCTTTCCCGAACTGTAGTGCCACACGTAGTCTGGGCGCTCCTTTTTGGATGATTCACAGAGCCTCATCTCAGCATTTTGGTAACTATCTTGATTAATGAAGTTTCTTAGAAACTTGAAGTTCATGCTAGATGCTCCCACTCCCTCACCACCCCCGTGTGTACACACAGAAGAAAGGGCAGCAAATTCGTTCTCTACCTTTTATATCCACTGTCCCGCCTTCCAGTCCATTTTCCACAGCAAAGCTAGAATGAACTGTATTTTTAAAACAATTAAGGCAAATGTTGTTACCCCCTATTTAAAGTCCTCAAGTGGTCTCCATCACTTTTAAGATAACATCACAGATTTACATAGAACATAGATATTTGTTGACATTCACTGAATCTTCATGACTCTGTGAAGTAGTTATTATTATTACCCCCATTATCCAGATGAGGAAATGGAGGCACACAGAGGTTCAGTTATTTTCCCAGGGTCTCAGAGACTGTAAGTGATGAAGCAGAGATTCAACTTCAGACGATGTGAGTCCAGAGGCCATTCGTAACCATTAGCTTTTGCTGCCAATCTCCTTCTCGTGGCACATCCCATGTGACCCCACCCGAGATGTTCAGACTTCTCCAGTTTTTCTTGGCCAAGGTGATGGAGAGACTGGGTCCTGGAAAGATGAGGAGACATGGGGCAGAGCTTCCAGCCAGCTAGCCCATGGACATAGAGTGGGAGCAAGAAATAAACCCCAACTCTTCAAGGTGTTGATGGTGATGATGATGATGGTGGTGGTGGTGGTGATGATGATGATGATGGTGGTGATGATGATAATAATGGTGGCGATGATGATAGTTGATAGTAATGATGGTGGGTGGTGGTAGAAGTGATGATGGTGATGAGGATGGTGGTGATGATGATAATGATGATGGTGCTGGGTGGTGGTAGAGGTGATGAGGAGGAGGATGGTGATGATGATGTCCATGGTAAGACACTGGCACATTCTGGGGCTCAATGAATTTTGGTGGATGATGGGCTGAAATTGTTCAGATTCCACATTGTGAACACCAAGAACAGGCCTACATACCATCCATAAAAGTCATACATCACTCTGGACAGAAATCTCTACATATCATCAGGGATTGAATCAAGACAAAATGCACATAACCTGTTTTGTGCTAGGTCTTTTGCAGTGGGAAGAGCAGAATCACATGATCATTGGGCTGTACCAAGGGCGATAATTCTAAGAGGAATGGGAGGGTCAGATCACTGCAAATTTGTCTGTAGCACCAGATTCCACATCTGAGCTGTATTAATTACATCAAAATAGCTTAGTTTTCACCATTTCTTTTCTTTTTAAAGAACTCCCACAGTTTTGTAGGATTGACTCTATAATCATCAATTTGTGAGGCATTTGATGAGTCAACAATGTTGCATTACAGCTCTCAATAGAGGAAAATATCAAATCAAAGAGTATACATGTAAAGCTGGGAATATGTCAGGATCATTTAGTTCTGCTCAGGGCTGATTTTATGAGGCAGGAACAACACAAGATATGATCTTAGTCTGACTATTTGGATGGCCCTCAGAACATCTATCAGTCTTTGGCTCTGAATGCAGTCTGCAGGTCCAACAGCCCTCTAACGTGCGGCTTTTTAATTTTTATTTCTTTTTTTTCCAACATTTTTTATTGATTTATAATCATATT